AACCATGCGTGCCTCAAGGCTGAATTTGAAACACTTAAGTTATACTTGGACAGGGAACATTCCTCCCAAATTTCAGCTTTTCAGCTTTTCTATTTACCGAGTTAGCAATTTTTTCGCCAAAACTTCCACATGCTCGTACTTGGGTACTCCACGTGCCCGGAAGGCTGAATTTGATATTTACAAATTGCAGTTGGGCGGGGAACATCCCCTTAAAATTTCAGTCTTGTAGCTCTACTGGTTACCGAGTCAGTAATTTCTCTACAGAAACTTTCATACGCCTTTACATGAGTACCACGCACGGATTATAGCTGAATTTGAAATATTTGATTTGTACTTGGATAGGGAATATTCCTCCAACATTTCAGCTTTCTAGTTTTACTCGTACCAGAATTAGCAATTTTCCCCCCTAAAACTTTCATAAGCCCTTACACGAGTACAACGCATACTTGGGGCTGAATTTGAAATCATTAGCTAGTACATGCACAGGGAATATCCCTACATAGTTTCAGCTCCTTAGCTCGTATGGTTCCCGAGATCGCTTTCCCGTCAAAAAATTTGCATATATTTTTAAAGCGTCCGTGCGCGCTACCCAGGCGCCCATGGGGGATGAAATTAAAACGGGAGGGCCGCGTGTGATATGGGCACATATCCCCAAAGTTTCAGCTTTCTAGCTTTTCTGGGTCTCGAATTGAAAGTGGGTGGCAGAAAGTGCGAACACACAGACACAAACACACACACACACACACACACACAGACAGACAGCCTCTTCCCCATATGCGTTTTTGCAATTTATATATATGCAGAAACGCATAAAAACTGGTATTTGCTAACAATGCCTGGGTTTCAATTTTGAATTGTCTATATGCTAATCTTAGGCGTGTGCTGTAGCTGAATATGAAAACTTTTGCTTACACATGACCTGAAAATATCCGCGTGAAAATTCAGCTTTCTATCCTGTCTAGTTACCAAAGACACACAAAAATGTTTCCGTCAGAAAAAAAAACGTATTTCAGGTGTTAGATGCACGACCCAGGTGCGCGTGAACATTGGTTTTAAATGGGCAAAATCTTATGCAGGTAGAAACATTCTTATGTAATTCCAGCTCTTTAACTTGTACTATTTTCGCCAAAAAATCCGAATATATACGCACACTCACACATGTATCCGTACCCAGACATACACACACACACACACACACACACATACACATACACACATACATGTTCGAAGCGACACCACTAGCCAGTATGCATTTGCATAAATATGCAAGAACTCATAAAAATGAATCCGCTTTGCTGTTGGAGGATTTTCAACCAAACTTGAAATTGAAATGAGTTTAAACTGCAACTAGGCTTTACCATGTGAACTGAGAACTTTTTTGATTTGCGGCACTTCCAGAAAAGTAAATCCATTTTTCTCCAGTTCTTTCGACTGTTGCTTATTAAACGATTTCTCGAGGTTCGTGAAAATCTCGCTGACACGTTCGGTTGCCTACAACGTTCTATGCAGCTTTGCGGTTTTAAAGAAAACACGCATATAACGTGTGGTGTTGTTAATCGTTATACAAGAGCTTGTGGTACTGGGATACCTAAAACATCTAACTCTAATATATCTACAAAATCCAGTATTCCCTTTTCCTCTTCCCGAAAGGTGCCCACAATATAACTGAGTCGAGCACTTGACTATATCAAAAAAGTGAAAGGACCTAAGTAAATTAATGGGTTCATACGGATCCCATGAGATCAAACCGGCTACAAATTACAACATTTTTATTACGGAATCATTTGTTTTTCTGCAAATATAGCAGCAGCCGTAATGTTAGTGCTCCAATTCAGAAATTTTTAACAAACTGAAATGCGTGACAATTTGGACCTCGAAGAATTTGTCTTCGAGACCAAAAAAATTTGTTTGCCCGAGAACATCGAGACCCATTTCGACAGCATGCTGCGCTCCAGACACATCCATCACCATCTCAATCACTGCCTTCCTATCTTTTTCCGTCATGCCACTATCTTCCAGTAACTAAAACAAATGCTGTATTACTAGAGATTAACATATGTTTCAAACAAAACTGTTTTTTTTTTGTGCAGAAAATAACCGTAGCTGGCCGGGATTTCCCAGAAAAAAAGAAGCGAATTGGAAAATTTAAATGAAGAAGACTCTTGATGACTTTTTTAAGTAGAGTACGGGAAAAATGCATGATTTCACTAAAGAGAGCTACGGAGCCAAAAAATATTATTGTTAGCTTACATTTCAGCATTAACAACTCGAAGGTCATGCTCAGAATTTCCTCACATTTTATTTCCCGTATGTCTCAAAAACACTTGGACTTTGTATTCGAGATATCTACTGGCACGGCTGCCGGTGGGTCTATCTTCCGAAGACTGCCCAATGAGAAAAAATCAAATCGAAGATGTCGCATTGACATGTGTCAATCCTAATTTGCCATCCAAACAAATCATCAGAAGGTTTGATTGCCCCACTCGTTTCCCTTGAAATTATTTCGGACATGACAGATGGTAATTAATAATAAAGTAGTTGTTGCAAAAAATAGTAAGAATAATTAAGAAAAAAAATTTGTTGACATTTCTTCGGAATAGCATTCGCCATTTTAAGTGACACTGTTGTCCGTTC